AAGCCCTGTGTGTGACTTACGTACTTCTTTTTTAACGCTCCGTGAATTATTGTCGTGTATTCGAATAACGTAAGCGTAATCTCAAAAATAAAAAGCCTACAGCATGCATCATCAAAATCGTCGTCGATATAAAATAACTTTTCGGGAATTATAAATGTAATAAAATTCGAAGCCGATTTCTGACTCCGCAATTTCGAGAATCAATAACATTTACGCGCAATTTCAAGCTGTCTTTGTCGAGTCAGTGATACAGATTTTGAATTAAGCGATTTGTCTTCAAGTTCACGCACAATCAACACCAGACGCCGCGTCGTGAAGGCAATAAAATCTTGCACGTCGAGAAAGGCAAAATCTTTTTCTCTCCCGACAGTAATATCAATTTCCCCCGCACGTCTCTGCAGACGCGACCGCGACAGTGCGACCTGAAGTGAAAGAATTCTGACACGAAAGAAAATTGGAGGAAGGAACGAACCAGGGCAACGGGAAAGAAGAAGATAGGAGTACAGGGAAAAGAACCTAGGGAAGCGGTATGAAATGGAATGAAAATTGTTAGGAGACGCGGAATGTGCTTCGAGAACTACGAAGCAGAGTAGTAATATCGCCGCGAGAAGTGTGAGGTTGGGATAGATGAAAAGACAGAGAAGTGAACGGTCCAGGAAGAGAGGAAGGACCTCGCGCGACTTCCGGATCTTTCCTCAGACGGTGAGAACTCTTTCTCTTCTGCGCTTTTTTTTCGTTATCCCATCGCTAAACTGTCGGCTTGAGGTTGTACGCTTGAACGTTACTCGTGAGAGAATTTCGAGGGAAAGGAAAAGAGAATCTTTTTCTTAACACAGCTAACGCGTGGATTGCTCTCAGAGTAAAAGGGTAAAGCAGGCGACTAAAATACTCTCGCGATTATGACTTTGAAATCAGATTCGTAGAAAGTACCGAACGACGACGATTCGATGAATAGAGCGCGTCGACGAAAATATCTCGACCACTTATAGCGGAAAGTTCATCGGCGGAACACTTCCGCAAGAAGACCGAAAAGTATGCGAAATGAACGGAGCGATCGCATAGTTAATAGAAAGAGAGAATTAGAGAAGAGGCAGATATAGTTATAATGACAAAATCGCGCTTGCTTTGTCTACCATTCTCTTTCATTTTTCTTCCCAAACTATTTCTTAAAAATCCATTAATTTTGCTAATTAATTTTGTGATAATTAAATGAGATTATTTGGTAATTTCAAGTTAATTATTTTTATATGAGATTATCAGCTTATATAATTTAATATAAAAAATTCATATCGTTTTACATGATCTTTTAAAAGTTTTAAATGATTCTCGTATCTGCCAATTCTCTGTTTTTCTCCGAAATGATAGATACATGCATGAGCGTGCAATCGTGAGAATCGGTTTTCGATTGACTCGTCGAATGCTCGTCGTTACGAAAAGTAAAAATTCCTCTTTATTGACTGAGATGTGACAAATCGGTCCGCTTGTGTGCCGCGCACTGATTTGTTTCGACGACCAGCGAAGAACAAGTTACCCTTGTATCGATTAACGATTTGTTTCGTTAATATTCGTTTTGCTCCAAGCCTCGATAATACAGTTTGTCATCTCGTGGCATTAATAAATTCTATTTTACATAATTAAATTTTTACACAAAAGCAAAAATAATTTTTTTAAAAACGCGCTGCAATTAATTATGCAAGAGAAAAATGCGAACATATATGTATACAAGTCACGTTTTATTTATATCCGCGTGTTAAAAATTTTCGAAAATTAATATTCTTCAAACGAATTTTCAATTTTTCCACAAAAACAAACTTCCATCGAACTTTGGCGCAAAACTAAAATATTGTTAATATTCAACGAGAAATATTAATGTCTGTTCATATATAAAATTTATGCTCTGGTCTTGTTGAAAATAACTATTTCTTCTTTACACTTGTCACATTTTTGTTTTATATGTTCTCGCTTAATTTATCCATCTATTTTCATTTCATCATTTTTCTCGTCCGACTTTTGAATTCTGTTATAATCTATAAATACTTTCATACCCATTTTTCGTAGAACACTTAATCGTCCACACACAAACACTTACTTGACGATCAACTATGTAGTCTAATCGCTATGCAACTAACGTCGTGTCTTAATCTATCAAAAATTGTCTGAGTAAGCCTACTTTCTACGTTTGTAAAATGGGGTATTTATGGCACGCGATTGATCGATGGATCAGTAAAGGCGGAATAAATCACGAACGCGTCATTTATATACGGTTATTTTATAGCGAATTACCCCAGTTTACTCGCCTGGCGAGTAATCGATGTCACGCTCTTTGGAATGTCGGTTTAACCCTATGATAGAGTACAGTCATGCGGTTGCGTAATACTGTTCTACGTTCTCGTGGATTCTGCAAGTGCGTTTTAACGCTAAGCTCGGCAACGAGCGATTATTCGCCAAGTGTAAAAATCACATTGTATAAAAATAGACTGCGGAACGAACGCGATTGGTGTGGGTGAGTTAGAACCACTTGCAGAACCACGTGAACTTGATGCTACATTTCATCTAATCGCATTTAAAAACACAGCTATATCTCTTCTGTCCTATGTAAAAATGTATATGTAATCTACTAATTAATTACACGAAATATCTAAAGTAACAATCACTTAATCACCACAATTAATACCCTGTATTTTTTGGCACGGTAACCTACTTACGTTCTAAAAATATATTTGTTATTTTGATAATTGAAAAAAATCGTTAAATTTCGCGAAGATATATAAGCGAATTAAATATATTTAAAAAATCGGAATTTTCCTTTCCAATCTCGATTAGAAATTTGTAGAAATATAAAAAAAGCTTATTTATCCTCAATAATCTATTATTACCCTGTCCTCGTTTCGTTAAATCTAAATATATATAAGTTAGTCTGAATTATCGCGTAATTTACCTGCCATTTGACTTTACGAAACATTTCCACGTACATTTGTACCAAAGTATGAGCAAAATATAGCGAATCAATATATTCCATTATAAAAAAAAGCGAAAAAACAATTTTGCGATATGTTATATTCTGCCATTTTGACTGAAACAGTTGTACATTTAGATAATGGAACTACCGTTCGGAACAGTAAATATATAATCAAAGGCAGAAATGCGTTGATGTTAAATTCTGATTTTACAAAAGCGATATTTTCCCTGTATAAAAATTTTTTTCCGTTTGCAAAAAAAACGTAAAATAGAAATATTTTAAATAAATAAAGTCGCATCTTCATTCCAATTTCCATCCTTTGTAAAAGTGGCATCGAAATTTAGCGCGATGGTAAAAGCATCAGAAGTTTGCTAATTCACTACGTCTCATTGTGAGAAGTTTAAAAATATGTTGTCGAAACAACACGACAGATTCTTAAATCGACCGCCTCGCTAATCTGAAGTTCATGCTTTTCGTGACATATTACAAAAGATTGTAAATTGCAGCTTGCGCGATCGATTTCATAACGATTAATTGCCTCCGCTCTAATTTCACCGTTTTACATAAAGGACAATGCGTATTACAAAACACTGCTGAGAAAAATGCGATTCGATAGGAATTATTAACAACATAATGCTTTCCAATATCACAATAATCATATAAAAAAGTATTATATGATGGCATTTTCGTTTAACATTTTTTAATCACAATTTTTCTTACGTAACATGACATTTTATTGCAAATTACATCTATGTCGACTCTCTCTCTCTCTCTCTCTCTCTATTTCTGTTCTTTATACACAACGCATTTTCCTCAGCACGAGCGTAAAAGCTGTTATTACTTTTTGTAGCTTTCTCACCGCGAAGTAGAGACGGATGATAAGATAGGAGGACTTCGTTTCGGTTCGAGGGAAACAACAAAAGAAAAATTGGTTGTGTAAAAGAAACTTAGGAATGGCTGAGCATGGTTGTATCTCTCCTGCTGGACGATAGAGAAAAGGCAAGTACAATAAAAAAAAATATATGTATATATAACAGGAGAGACAGTCTTTAATCCCGAGCTGGCTGAACGACGAGCAATTAGTTGTAGGTAAATAAATATTCTGGACCACCCACCTTGCTTCTGCTGGGATCATCGAGAACCCTATAAAGAAAGAGACGCGAGAGATCCCGTTTTCGCGCGCTCAGCGAGAATTCTGCCAAGCGCCCATTTAAGGCCAATGTTAGACCTATGTCACACAAGATCCATCACGATCACCGGAAACGATACACGAGAGCACCACGCATTGTTGCGTGTCGCTCTCGCCGGGAGACGCGGCTTGAATGAACGGAGACGACGGGAAATTGAATCAGATTTTCGGAGCCCGTCATTTTTGAGAAACTATCGCCACACAAAAGCCTCTTTGTAAAATATAATTAATTAGTATTGTTTATAATATATTTATTTTGTTATTTATTTAAGAGGCTTAACTAAATTTAAATTTACTGAAAGATTAATTAATGTATTGTTTAATAAAAAAAATATCTACTATATTCAATAATCTGCAAATTAAGTTGATTAACACACACTTTGCACAAGGATTACATTCACGGATCCGATTGTTAAAAGATCGGTATCCTCGCGCGAAGAATCATTCCGTCGACTCTATCCATTCGACGGCGCGTCTCTACTAAAATCGCGAGATAGGAACTGTTCCTCTGGACGGAATGTATCGATGTGTATGGGGGAAAAAAAAACCAAGGACTTTCGTCCTTTCTCTATGTGGCTATACATGGCTATTCGTTTTTGGCTTGGTCGTGGTGTGTGGCGGCTGTTGGAAAGATTTTTAAATAAATACGTTATCTCGAGAATGTTTCTCTCGCGCGATACTGAAGTGATAATGATGATCCGCGCGCTCGCAACAAGACGAGGAGCGCGGAAGCCCGTCATTGTCATCGTTGCCTGATTGGTCGTTGCCTTCAGGAGAAGCCGTGACAGTTCTCACGGATCTCGAAGTAGAGATTCAGCAGTGCCGGCTCCGGCACGTCATGGAAGCACCTACCCTCGGGCCACTGTACGCACACTGCAACAGACAAAAACAGACGCTTTACATCTCGTGTTTCTCTAAAAAAAATTAACAAAAAAAAGCAATCATGCGGAGAATTTTATCTCGCGGTTAAAACTGTTTGAAATTCATATACACGAGAACTTTTATTAATAAAACCGCCGCATTTGTCGCACGACCGAAGATAATTAATAGAGTATTTAGCGGCGTTCGCAATTACCTGACGTAACATGGTACCGGAACGTATATAGGGCAGATGGTTATTTGAATTAAGCCGAAAATACCCTGTCATCGTTAATAGTTTGCTAATTAAGAACCGTAGTTATATACCGATGCGCAATTTCACCGTGTAGAAAAATAATGCGATCGATAAGTAATGTGATTTTCTTTGCTGCGCACAATATTGTTAAGCTCTAAATTATTATGTCACTATCTAATTTATTTTAAAAAATATTACGATCAAAATTATTTGACTATCTTATAAATACTTCGAAAGCAGAATTACATAAACTTAATGATACAGCGTGCAAAGTTTGAAAAAGGAATTTATTCGATTAATATCAATTTGAATTAACATCAAGTTACACAAGGTAATTTGATGCACAGCTATCCTGCAGCTGTGATTAAAACGCTCGTTCTTATTCCCCACAAAGTTGCACTAATAATCGCTGGGCGTGGTTGATTGATTGCCACTAAGTTTTTAGGGGCTCGAAGGCTTTGCGCCACAAGCTTATTCTTCCCACAAGCGTAAATTCCTTGTGAAATTCCTTCTCCGGAGAGAAGATTTCTCCGTAGTAAATTACCCGTATGTTAAAAACAGAAAAAGAGCGATACTTACGTTAATGTTCATTGCAAAAAAAAAAAAGGGAAGAAGTTTATAATTCTGAGACAAGTAAAATTGATCGATGTTAAAGGTCTGCTATTTCATTAATAATGTTAGTTAATAATAGATTAATAAATATTTCATCAAGTTAATAATTGCATTTGAGCATGCCTGTTTATGGAAACGACGTATCTTATTTTACGTGAAATATTAAATATGTTAGATAAATCATAAATTTACTGTTGTGTGTGTTATGTGATACCATATTATATATTTAAAATCAAATCTTTATGAAAAATACATACAGATGGAAAATGGATTCTATACTTTCAGAATGGGACCGCCTGCAGTCTTTCTTTCTTTTTCTTTACGTAATTGGCCGCGGGAATTATGTAACAAGAAAATTGACTCTAGCGAGAATCGCGAAATATCGAAGGCGCGCTCCTGCATCTTATAAAACCCGAGATTGCAATTTTCTTTCTAGAGACGCGAGCGCGCACACTTCGATTTTGTTCTCGTCTAAAAGATGAATAAGACGGGACGAGCGAAATTTGATGCCGAGCGCGTGATTTATGGGGCATCTTTTTTCCGAAATTATGCGCATAAAGATGTTTTAAAATCAAATCAGTTTTTACGAACTCGGAAAAATATGCGCCTGCACGAATCGCAAAATTTCCACTTTCATAATGTCTATAATAACGTTCGTCGATTGAGAACGAGAAGCAAGATCACGTGAGAATTCACAATTTTACCGGCGTTCACTTGCGCTCTACAAGCATCAAGTATAAAGCTCTTTGATTGAAATCCATTTGCAATTAATTGGTAACTTAATGCCTTCGTACAATTAATTGCGAAGCGGGTCGGTACTATCGGTATCTCTGTACGCGGTGCATCAAAAGAATCGATAATTATTCATTACTATCTCAGTAAACAGATAAAATAATGTATTTTCGATTAATATAGAGCACGCTAAGTGCGAGAGCTATTTAATTACTACAAATATAAAAACACGTAATATACTTAGGTAATTGTCTGCTTCTTTAATTTTTACATACACCAAAAGAAATTGATTGAAAATAAACGTATCGATAGTTTCTACACTGAAGAAAATTTACTAAATCTTAACACATATTTCTTTAAGTAATACTAAGTAAATATTTATTTACAGTAAATAAATCCTATTAACACAATTAAAAAAATGATATTTAAATAATATTAATTATGGTTTTTCTATCAAATAAATATATGATTTACATTTAGTAAATATTTACTTAAAACTATTCAAACAAATATATTTTTTGAAATTTATTTTTTCATTGTAATTATATTAATCAGAATTTTAGTCAAGATAACTAAATGTTCAATCATGATGACCAGAATTCTGATTGATACACCTGTCAGATTCTACTGGTTCGTTTATTTTCAACCGGACAACTTTCTCTCAGTGTACAAGTACCTACTCAGGATGCTACATTCCGCGATCGGTCCAGGGACGTTGCAACAACGCATTAGTGATCTGTTGCGCGTAATGGGTCGCGATTTCGCATACGTTCAGCGTCCATGGCTCTGATGGATGCAAATACAGCGGCGGGATTGATCGTGCGATTGCGTGCCACGCGGCTGTATCTCTGGTAAAGCAGTAATGAAACGGAAGGTGGCGAATTACTCGCCCTTCGCCCTTGCTCCTCTCACCCCGGCTACCGATTACCAACGGGGTGGGTCAGCTGGTATGACCGCGTTGGGGATGACCCAAACGTAAGCGGGATGTCGGATGCGGTCACTCGATTGTCCCAGCGCGAGCATGCATTTCTCGCGTCGGATTTAACCCCGATTTTTGTCAGATACGGCGAAGCACGCGTCGATGTAACGTGATAAAAGCGGAAACGAGCAATTGGATGATGGACCTCTGCGCGGATATAACGACTCGCCTTCGGAGGGATAACAATGAAACAGGCACGTAAAACACTTGATTGCAGAACGCTGCGTGCCTAAAATCGTGGAATCCAAAAATTCATGTAAATTTCACTGAATTTTGATTGAATTTTACTTTATAAAATAAAAGCCATTTTGCGCAATGATAAATCTGAAATACATTTCACGTGTGGGCGTTTAGATTATAATCGTGGACGTGGTAAATGCAAATCTTGCATTTTTATGTTTAATTAAAAACGTAGTTTTAATTAAAATTTTGCAAAATATTTTCTATTTGATATTAAAATATAGTATATTACGCTCTTTGAAATAAAAGTTTGTTTAATCAGAATAAAAGATTTTAATATCTGAGCTCCTAGATTCTAGTTTACACCAACATGCATTACATTTAGAAAATTTGTTTTTTCTATTTCCGATTTCTCTGTTTATGAGAATAAATTTCTGACTCGGTAAGAAATTAATTGAAACTCGAATGCTAAAGTTTCTGCGAAAATACTGTCTATTATTCGCAAGCGATATAATATATTCCAATCAAATGGAAAAAGAAATACCAAGGATAAAACGAGATCTTTTTTTAATTCAAACGCGTATCTTACCGCGTATTATTTTGCTGCCGGAAATTGTTTCTCTTTTGGTTTCATAAATGAATGGTGCGGCACAGTTCATCATTGTAGATCACACGTACGTGAGAAAATAGAGAGAAGATAAGTTTAATAAAAACGGAAATGTAGCACGAGAGGTAAAAGCTAAAAATAGAGACACATATATACGAAATATTTTTTGCATAATAATTTCAATGTTGTAGCTTTATCGAAGTCCCATATAAATGGACTTTTAGACAGTGTTTCAATATATATTCCCAGTATTGAAAGTTATGTATACTACAAGGAAAAAAAAAACGATCTTACTAAAGTATCTAAAAATTTAACTTAAATACAAATCTAAAAATAATTTTGCCGGACCATCAAAATATTTACATAAGAATCTCAAATATGATAATGCAAAAAGTTTTGACATTCCAGCAATCAGTCCGAACGTTCTACATAAATATTTTGATGATCCGACAAAATTATTTTCAGATCTGTTGTATCCAAAAGTTGATTTTTTAGATACTTCAGCAAAACTATCCTTTAGTATTTAAACTTTCAGTGCTGACAGTATATATATCGGAGCATGACCTTAATTGCAGCAATTACAGAATAATAAAAGAAAACGAATTGTACAGAATATTAAAAAACAAAAACGCGAAAAAAAGTTCTTTCTCTCAACAACACTAATTTTAATAATTGCTCAGTGCAGGCATTTAGACAGTGTTTACGCGAGGAATTCAACAATGCAGAAAATAGGTAGCTTCATCTTACAACAACCACGTCCGTTTACTCACGCTCGTGTGCTTACCGCACCGTCGGATGCTTGCTCATTTGCGTATACGTAGCTACTTGGGACAAAGGTGTAATTGCGTTTTGCGGAATAGTTGCTGCGAAGAAGTTTACAATTTCACCCTATTTCCACACCGGTTTTCGGCGAACTCACGAGCGTATATAATATGATTTTCCTTGATATATTTCGGTATATCAGGTCAGCACATCTTTAGACATGACGCGAGACACGTGAAAATAGACGCTCTTATCTCTACAAGGCCCGATTTCTTCGTAGAAGTCTGCCGGTTTATTTATCGAACACGGCGGACAATAGTGGCCCGCTTTGCATAAAACTTATAGGATCTCGCGACGAGCCTACGTATCGAAAATATATCATGCAAATTATTATATATACACCGCAAACACGTTACGCGGTGGCGCGTGAAATTCCGCCCCCGTCCCCAACCATCCGGCTCTCCCTTTTGTGCGCTTTTCATCCGTTCTGCGAATTTCTCGTGCGAAAATGCTGGCGCGCATATAAAACACGTTGTAATTCCATTAAACCCCTCTTCCGGTATTAACCGCCGGTACAGCCATAGATGGCCTGGCTCCGCGACGGGAATAAAAATAAAATGTTTTAATAAAATGAAGCTTCTCCCGCATTGTCGGTCTAACTTTCTCGCGCTTATTTCTTACCGATGAATCGGCGAACTGCGCCGTGCACAAAACGAGAACGCGAAGAAACGAATGGAAAAGTTTTGGAAAAGTGTGCGACCCAGTCGCGAAATAAATGCGAGAAAGATCCCTTTTCTTTCCTTCTTTACGACAGAAATGTTCCCCGTTTCAACAGCACTGCCGCTTTGTAGGTACCATCACAGCTGTAAATCGGATTGTAGGAAGAG